TTATATATATATATATATATTTATGTAAAAACATTTCCAGAGAACTAGATAGAAATCTTTATATAAAGTTTATATTTGTTTTCATATAATTTTAATTATTTCTATTTTTAATCAAACAGATGGTTGTTTAATCAGGTGTCATTTATGATAATTTAAAATTATATATAAAATTTTGTAATTTCTTAGAAAAACAGAATGATTATCTATCAATGCTAACTTAACAGAAGTTTAATTATTATTATATTAAAAATATTATTCTAGGTAAACCAATTAAATATACTTCAATTTTATTTTGATTATAAATTTTATATTAATTAAAACTAAAAATTATTTTACATAAATTTAAAAGTTATTTTTATTAAGATGCAGTTAGAATGATCCAAATTTAAACTATTAATAATCTTTTATTTCAGTTCATTACTCAACATCTATTTTAAATCTGAACATTTACTATACTAAATAAAGTGATAAGAACTCTATTTTAATGACAATGCTTAAGGTATTTATTGTTAAAGCATCTAAACAACATTTAAAATATATAGATAAATAGTTAGAATATATAAATAAACACTTTCAAATTTTACTCAATACTAAAATAAATTTTTTCATATATTTCATTATCTTAAAATAAAGTTGTTCCACTTGAGAATTTTATGACTGTAGAGTGTAATGAATAGTTATAAAACCATATTTCTATACTTGATATTTAAGCTGGTAAACTTGTTATTATATAACCTTTTTATTAATAAATTTTAATCAATTATGACCTTGTTTTTAGTTCTATAATGATAATTTCTGAACAACTTTTGTTCTGTTCCCATAATATAAAACTTAATTTAAATAACTGGATAGAATACTTAGAATGCGTAGAACAACTAAAATTGAAAGATAAGTATTTCAAATATTTCATCAGCTAATAACTTAAAATTTCTATCTTGCATTTTAAACTTTCTGATGTTTTTTTTTTTTGCATTATAAATTGTGCTTATTCTATAGAATAAGCACAATTTATAAATCCTAATAAAATTTGATATTAATTTTTAAAATTTATGAAAATTGTAAATTTATTTTTGTGAAAAATATTTTATCTTTATTATATTAAAAATAATAAGACAAAATAAAACAGAGACAATGGTGGTAAATAAATTGGATTTTATTTGACATTTGATAAATAATTTGATAATGCTTATTTATCTATCTTATTTTAGAACATTATCAGAAAAAGCAATTAATATTTTATAATTCTAAATATTTTCTCAAGATTTAAATTATATACTTGTGTAAAAACTAAAAAATCCCATTCAAACAAACTAATTATTCATTATTTGAAAATTTTTTTCCTTGTTACATTCAAGAAATTTTACATGAAATTTGAAATTCACAAAACTTCTGAGTTCCAAAATTATTATTATTTATAGTTGCATCAAATATAAAATATTTTAAAAATTCTAAAATATGAATCATGTTTTCTCTATAATTTTTATCATTACACAGTTATATACTTTATATCTTTAGTAATTAAATTCTTATTCTAAATATAATTGCTTTATTAGCTTAAAATAGTAAATTGTTTCACTTCTCATATTGTAATTCTTTGGAGAATTATTAATGTAATGTACTGTACATTCATAGATAAAGACAAGCAATTTTTTTTAATATAAATTTTTTCATTAGTTTCCTTTTTATTTTAAACACTAAAAATTATTGAGACATTAATCTAATAAAATATATAGTCAGAATGCAAACGTATTTGTTTTGATGATGAATGTTCTGTTATTTATATGAGTAGAAATACTTTTTACTAATTAATAATAATAAACCACATTAAAATGAGATTTCTAAATAATGTAAGATCCTAGTTCATTTATATGTAAGCATATAGTTATGTATATTCCTATGATATATACATGTATATATATCATAGGAATATACATAACTATATGCTTTATATATATTGTACATTCAGATGATGGTGATAAACAATTTACATACAACTATCAATAATGGAAAGTAAGCTTAGATAACTAAGATTTTGTAAGTTCATCACGTAAGTTTTTTTTTTATTAAAAACTTACATGATGCACAGTTATCAAAATTTCTAAAAGTTCAAATTTTTTTGATTTAAAATGAAATTATCATTCAACATCAATTATAAAATGATACAAATGGTAATATAATGTATAATTCAGTAAAAATCAACAACTTTTTTTACAATTAAAACTTTTTAATCATATTTTTTACACTGATGATGATGATGACGATATCTTCATACATTTTAACTATAAATTTGAAAAATTACAGTTTTACCAAACTAGTTTTAAATTTTATTTTTATTAACATAAGAAAATATGTTCATTTTATAGTAATTTTACAATAATTAAATTATAGTAAAACTATTAAAACTTTAAACAAATAATTTCAAAAGATATTTGAAATACACTTGACAATAAAATTAAGACTTACAAAATCAAATTTGTAAAAATGGATATCGTTTTTCCCCAATATTTTAGAATTTAATTTTTCAAAATATACTTCAATTCAAGTCCTAAATACATAAATTATTATTTAAAAGTAATTTTTCATTTTTATACTGTAATTTATACATTATATTACCATTGATATCAATTTCATAATTTTATTGTTCAAAAAATAGTACATACACAATTACATGGTATAGAAATTCAGTTGAAGCAAAATATATACAATACGTGTATATAAACTGCATAATGATCTATTCTTTCAGTACTGGAATGCAATAATATATCCTAATTTTTTTTATTCGTATATATCAATAGTTAATAGAAATTCTTTGAAAATTAAGAGTTGAGTATGGTATAAAAAACTTTATACCATACTCAACTCAATTTAAAAAAATTTTTTATATCTATAGCCATTAATTCTAAATATACATCACCAGGAAGTTAATATAATCTACCAATACTCTAAATAAGATCTAGTAAAATTAAAATACCATTAAACAGTAACTTTTCTTTTGATAATCAAATTAAAAAAAAAAATGAAATCACATTTTCTCATTCTGTATTCAAATAAATATTATATCAAAATTTTGTCTAGTGTATATTATATTTATATAAGTATAGTGTATACACATAAATTTATATCTATTGTTTAATTTATAATTAAACATAGATTAGAAATTTATAATAATTTGTATGGCCATCATCTCATTATATATACATATTCTCTTACATATTTTTTATCAATCAAATATTTTTTATAAAAAGAGAAAAATGAAAATAATAATAATATTACATATTCACTGTTTATTATTACAGGTATTTTTATATAAATAAAATATTTGTACCTATGTGATCTTAATAAAAAATTTTAAGGAATAAAATATATGTTTGTGTGTGTGTAATGTATACATTTTATACTATATAAATATTTTAAAATATTAATGAGTTTCAAGAATGCAATTCTAAAATATTTAAACTGCTTCTGCAATTATATCTAAAATTTTAATATACTAAACATTTACTAACTAAAAATTTTAAAATTCTGAAAAAATCCATATAAATTTTTCATGTACACATTTTTAAGATCTGAAAAAAATTTTAATGGTTTCTGTCAATTTTTAATATTTATATATTAAAAACACTAAATTCAATTTCATTTTAATAAGAAAAACATTTTCCAAAACATTCACAAATTCCATTAAATATCATCAATCATTAATATGATAGCTTATTTAATATTGAATTTAATTTCTAAACTCATTATATTAACTTATTTTCATTTATAACAATCAAATTATGCAAAAGTTCAAGCAGCTATCATATTTTTACATCATCATAAAATGGAATTTCAAAGCCTTTAGGCATGGAATATCAACAAAAAAAAAAGCACATTATAATTTAATTAAAACAATAAAAACATTTTATTGTAGACAGGAGCAAATGAGGAAAGATGAAGGAAGAATTAAAATTTAAAAAGAAATTTAATTTAATTTTTATTAATTATTTTTCAAATCAATATAAATTTGTATTAACTAAACAAAATTTGCACGTGATATAATTTGTATTTTTATCTTTTTTAACATTAAAACAAGCAGAATAACAAATATAAATTTATTGATGCAGAAACTGCAAAACTATTGATACAAATAATATTTTGATTTTATATATATTATATATTGATATAGTAACCCATATTTATTTAATAATTTTATTTGATTTTTAATTTATTTCAAAACAGAAAATAAATGAATTATAGTAATGTTTTGTTATTTCAATTGAATAAATTATTTTTGACATGATTTAGGAAATAATGTATTAATTCAATCTACTTCTACATAAAAAAAATTAATATTTTTTAAAGAACCTAAGTAATTTCCTTAAACCTTTAGTAATTACCTATCACATATAGTATCAAACATTTTTTAATCAATTTTTTAAAAATAATACTCAATTAATTTTCAGTTAAATTGTTATATTTAAAACACATTTATACTTTAAAATATACAAGTTTTCAAATTATTTCAATTTTGATTATTTTGTAATTCTGCTCAGAAATATAAAAATTAAGCAAAAAATATGAAAGTTTAGATAATTTAATGAAATATATTTATCAACTTTCACAGAGAATATAATTTCAATATTAAAATATACATATAATTTTGAGAAATTAAAAAAAAAAAGTTAAAATTTTGTAATTTTTTTCCAGCTTTTCTTTAAAGTATCAGTTTAAAAAAGCATTTATCATCAGTTAAAATTTTAATAAAAATATGATTTTTAGATATTGTAACATTTAGATTATTTTAAAAATCAAAAATTAAATAGGCATTTATAATTTTAAACTTAAAAATCAAATGTTTTGCAAATAAATTCTTAAATTTAACAGATATATGCATACAGTATGTGTATATATCTGTGTGTTACATGGTATACCTGTGTTACATGGTAATCTATGTGTATATCTGTGTTGTGTGTGTATATATGTGTGTGTACCTATGGAAGTTACTTGTAGTTAATTTGCATTTATTTGCATATATTCATATACATAATTATTACCTAAAAGTAACTTCTACTAGAAAAATGTATGGATTATGTACATTCTTATTTAAAATTTATTATTTCATGTATCTTATTAAGCCTGAAAGTAGATAAAGTAAGCATTTCATTACTGTTGCTCTAATTCAGGCAAAACAGAATTCCCTCTAATCATTTAAAGATAGGCCTACTAAGAATCAACAGGAAGCAGAAATAGGCGTTTAACGTAAAAGCTAGAGGTGTATTTTTATATTTATAAACCTCGTTAGTTTCTAAAATGATAACACCAATCTAATTTAAGCACTTAAGAAGTGTAAAACCTTTCGTATACAACAAAAAAACACGCGTGAGAAAGATGTTACTTACAGCGAGTCACGTGATAGGATGACGTAATATTTTCCCTTCACCTTGTTTTTAAAATATTTCTATTTATTAAATTAAGCATTGTTATTGATTTATCTAAATTAATTAATTATAATCAGATAGAAGATATCTTAAATGTTTTATATGATATTTATGTGCTTTTTTTTAAGTTCCATCGAGGAAATTTCCCTTACGTAAAGGGTAAATTCCCTCACTGTACCGACACGCTAGGCGAGGCGGTCGTTTTAACCCGAGAATGTATTGATTTGTTATTTATGTTATTGTTTAGTACTTAAAATAATTGTCTCTTTTTGCATGATTAATTTTATTGCTTCTAGAGTAGTTTAAAAAATATTTTTTTTTATTTAATAACAGGAAATGTTGTAGGTCTTCGGCAATGTTAAAAGATGGAAAGGTTGGGGACCTCGTTAATAAAATACCCTGTTGTCGGAAACACTCGAATTATTTTAATAACTACTAAAACTCAACAATTAATGAGATTTATGTATTATTTTACGGGCAAAAATAGATATATTATATTTTTATTGATCTATTTTTAGGGAAACAAAATTTTAATGTTAAATGTGTGACTTTTCCGATCTCGTTGTTAAGGGTATTGAAAAGGGAATAAAGTAGCTGGAGCATAAATTTGATCCACGTGGTCGCTTGAGCAATGATGTTAACTTAATTACAGAATTAGAGTGCGATTCGGTCTGTAAAAAATCCAGATTCTAAACAAAATTGGATAAACTCAATTGATTTCTTCATCAGTACATCAAAGGGCAGCGTAATGCCGGCTTAGATTTAATACTTAATGCGTTTTTTATCCATTAATTCACTTTTTTACACGCTCCAAAACTGTTTCTCGATTGATTTTTATCGATTCTTCTGCAATTCAATTTCTAGTATATCAATTTATTATACAATTAAAGATATAGCCAAACGTTTTTTTATATAAAGTTAACTACTTCCGACCTACTTATCGATAAAAATGTAAATATTGAAAATCTATTTTTGAACCAATTAAAACTGTTTACAATAAATTGTACACATGCACATAAAGAAATCAATTCAAACTGCAGACATATGCATTCTGTATATTAGCACGCAAAGCTATTTTAAAAATCCGCATTTCCTGGGGAACGTAATCTTGGATGGATACAAAATAAATTTTGCAAGTATTTTTGGGAAGATTTAGAAACAATTCCGTGAAAAATCCGGTGGCACACATTCAAGTTTCTATCGTTAAAATTAAGGAGAAAAATATCGGCTTTAACGCTTGTGAAGTTTGGAATTTTACAAATTTACCATCTCCAAATTAACTCGTAATGTTAATGGGTTAATCATTCTAATAGGATTAATTCTAAATGTGTAGTCGATTAAGATATCGCTTCATTACTTCGAAACGAGTTAACTAATTCATTAAGATCGTTACCGTTAATTAAGAAATTACGGAAATGAAAAATATATGAAGTGTAAATGTTATTGTTATCTCTATGGTATTTTAGCCAAGAAAGATTTCGAGCAACTCAATTGCATATATTAGTCTATACAAATTGATCTTTATAAGATAAACAGATCAATCTCGCAAGCTTCTGAAACCTCTCAACGAAATTGAAACTTCTATTTTTAATGAAGTAAGTTCATTTAAGTTTACACAATAAAACCGAATTAAAGTATTTTGTTACATAGTTTTAAAACACATTAATAAACATGTAAATTAAATCAATTCTACAGCAGACATTAAATAGGTTAATTAATATCTTCACAAATATTAAAAAAACTATAAGCTGTTTTTAATAAATTATTATGTTTTTAATTAATTAAATTTGACCTTTAATTAAACTAGAGTAATGTGTCTATCTTTTTCTGTTTTTCTTTTTTTCCCCTTCTTTTTTTGGTAAGTCAGGCAATGGATTTTGTTATTCTTTTGCCATCAAATTCCAAAGACATTATTGATGTGATCAAGCAAATCACTGAAAGTAATGCTGAACGATTACTTAGATTTCCCACACAATCAGTGTTCTGTCATCCTGAAATCTCCCAGAGTCATTCATGAGGAGTTCATGCAGAACGGCAAAATTCCCAATCTCAGAAGGAAGGAAGTATTTGCCAAGAAAAACATACTGGCAAATGTCATTGATCTGCAATTCTTTTACATTTTATATATCTGGACAATACGTATAAATGTTCATTGGAAAATATTGAAAAATATTTTGAGTACTTGATAAACTATGCCACTTTTTAAAGTGTTCGGTCGTATAGTGCCTACAAGATCATTAAAAAAAATCTTATGTTGGTATAATTGAATAGTGTGAATGAAGTGGTTGGTTTTAGCATTCTCGAGTGATTTTTAATAGAAGGATTTCGTGACACAGATAAAATAGCTAATATCAATTAAGAAATCTCGTCGGTTACAGTTTAAAAAGAGATTATTGTATTCGCATCTTGTTTTCATTGTAAAGCTCTCGTTAACTGAATTCCGAAATTAAGAACACCGCCCGTGAATGGACTTTATACAAAAGCAATTTCATTAAATTCAATTGGTAATGAAAGAATCACAAATGTTATTCATTTAAATAAATTTCATTACGTTCTTTTATATGTTTTAGAAGAAACCTGCCATTGAAGGAAATCGTTTTAACTACGTAAAATGAAAGAAAGAAAAGACGATGGTTACAGGTAATCAAGACCTATTTCCTGACTAAAAATAGAACTTTCGACTGACCTTTAGTAAAATATGTATGTTGTGTTGATGGACGTAATCCCGATTAAAACCAGTCTCCAAAAAATTCTTTTCGCTGCACGTGTTGTAGAAAGTAATTTATTCATTAATTTTGCACTAAATAAAGTTAAAGCCGTCATCATTTATCTTTGTTTCGGCAGAATATTATGTTTAAATTTAATTAACTTGATGAGAATAATGTTTAGATAATATTTTCGTATATTTCTTTTTTATCCGGAAAACATTCAATTAACTCGAGATATCTAATCGCTCGTGCTACTGGTTAGGGAAAAGGTTTTTATTTTTCCTACGTAGGAAAATCGATTTGTGTAAAACACCGATTGAAATTGGCTTTTTAAGTTTTGTCACTTGTCTTTTGATCGAATTCCTTAACGAAGTTGAAAGTTAACAGGAAAAAATGAATTAAATTCTCTCACTTGGTTTGTCTCCGTTAGGAATCAAAGGGTTAAAACCAGCTAACCCAGTGACATTTGTACCGAAACGAGTTGACTGACCTGTTAGAATCAGAAAAATAAAATCTTCAGCCATCTATATGAAACTTTTTAATAAGTTTTTTCCTAGCTTTATCGATTTCTTCATCCAAATCGGTTAAAAACGAAATCGTATACAGACTGGAGCAAGAGTAAAAACAACCAGTTCACCTGTATGGAATGTCAACTTCGTGTGGGAAAGTCAGTATAAACTTAGCGATGAGGTCACTAGGTTGGATTAGTTCACACCAAAATCACTGGGACGCAATGGTACACGCAAACATGGCTTGGCTGGCTAGACATTACACAGTGAAGACTAACTTCAATCACTGCAGCGGTTAATGGCCCGAAGACAAACACACATTGCAGTTGGGGTCTGAGAAGGGGGGAACACACGTGATTTCCGGTGCTGTGTAAGTTCAGCGTCGTAAGTCAATGCACCTAAGTCGTAAGTCGCCAGTTATTGTTTGTTATTAGTTGTCAGTTAAGATTGTGTTTACATATTTGATTTCTGCATACGTGCGAGACTAGTCTGGAAGAAGGAAGGATATTCTATTTTGTTTTTAATCGTAAACGGTATGCGATTATCGTAAACGTTTTCTGGTCGGAGAAATGGCCCAATCGGCTTTTGCACATAGCTAAAATTTAAACGAGATACGTTTGTATTTACATTTACTAGAAGTTGGAGTGCCCCGTTAACTTGCCTCCGTATCTTTTGTTGTTTTTTCACCTGGTAGGGTGTGACTATCCATCCAGGGTCATCTTCGAACAGGTTCGTTTTCTCTTCGATTTGACAATCCGGTTAATGTACGAAGATTGACCAATTACAGTTGAAGACTGCCTGAGCGGGAGCCTCGATCTCATTCTCGTCACATGGACTGCTACAGTAGCGACATCAGTGTGCAGGAAGCGCTTGCATTAACCAACTAGCTAAATGCATGGGAGCTGGAAGAGGGATTGTTAGGCAACAGATCTTGTGGATTTATCCTATTTTCTCGCTCGGATTTTTATCTCCAAGGTAAGTTTCGTTATTTCACTTCTTATATCTCGACAACTTGCGCTCAAATTGTTATTAAGGATTTTAAAAAATCTCGATTTTTAATTCATTTGACTATTGCGTTAGTTAGAAAGGGGCGAAGTCGGCTTTTCTATCGTATCTGTCCACACACGTGCAAGCATATTATCTAGTTTGTTTTCTCGAACAGACTAGAGGCGTTGAGCACAGCCAGGGCGGCTATTTTTACTTCTCACCGTCTACTCGTTGTATTCTCATGCTGACCTAAACGCGGAGCCACCCAATACGGAATAGCGATGCCAAATATTGCTGACACTCAGACGACACAGCGACTGGAAAGTGCACCATCCATCTAGGTTGAGAAACCGAGAATGGCGTCCAAGGATGCAAATTTGTTTAGAGAAAGTGATCATCAGAGAACAAGTGCGATCTTTCCCTTATTTCCGCGCTGGAGCTGGTGGCCGGTGACCCCGAAGTCCAATCAATAACCTTACATAACGCTTCTCGTCCGAAATACGTAACACTGTCGTGTGTGGGAATGGCCTACGGTTTGCACACTAATGGACGTTCGGCTGTCGGTGCTTCGACCAACGAAGCATGGCGGGGTGAACGATCTCTTGCTCTCCGCTCTTTCCGATTCGCATCATTGGACATTAGCTATAGCCATACTCCACTCGCTCCCGTCCGAGAACTTTACCACAAGTGCATTTTTGTGGAAAAACGCCACGTTTCGCTTTCGTTAAATATTCGTTCACGTTCCTTTCTTAATTTAATTAAGAATTTACTATCTGTTGAATCTATGCAATTTCATTTTTTTCCGGAAATTTTCCTAATCCCCTTAAAATGACTCTCTCTCTCTACTGATCGGTTGCATGAACATAGTCCTACATTTCGACGTTTAGTGAAAAAGTCACGCTGGTTGCGTGCCTTTGTTACGTGGTTTTAGTTTGCGTGATTCCGTGATCTGACCAGAGACAGGAAAGAAAGGAAGATAGAAAAGAAAAAAAGGCTCATCAGGCTGTGACGGAAATGCCTTATCTAGATGTACTAAAGACGCAAATAGAAGTAAAAGAAATGGTCCAGCAGTTCGAACCACTTTCGCTTTCTTGTTTGGAACCACTGATCTCGAGGTTAGATTAACAACGATCAGAACCTTCAAATTTTAAACTAGTTTTTGCTTAAAATTTCTTCTGATTTAAAAGTAAAAACACTTTTCTTGCTGTCCGAAACGTAATAAAAATCGAACGGTAATTGTAATAAACCAATTTTTTCGATATTAACTTAGTTTGTTGGCATTTTAATTCTATCTTTAGTTTGTTTTTTTCGCCGTGTTCTGCCGTAAGTCCAAATCTCAGGTGCAGTGTCCTTTTTTTTACGTTTTTGGATAATGTCCAACCTTTGCAATGTCTTTTTCGATGATGTTACAGTTCGATATAACATTTTGGTATTAAAAAAGATGAAGATTATCGATTTTTAGCGAAAGGGTGTGGTCAATTCTCGAGGTGTATGTCCTCTTACATCGACCGCAAAACTCTTCTTTGACGAAGTTTGGGGCGATATCGTTAATTCGTCCATCATCCGAAAGATGGCGAAAGCTTTCGTGTTTCACTCCTTCGCAGTAAGCCTCCCCCCGATAATAGAGCATAATTGGCCAATTAATTAACTCGGTTTTAATTGAAAAATGGTCAACCAATAGAACAACGGCCATTTTTTGATAAGCACGTTTTCTTGATATTAATAACTCTCTTTAAAGACTTCCTATTCGGTGTCCTCATTTTCATATTAGGTAATTGCATTCGCCTATAGGCTGAAGAAGCCTTACACAACTTTCCGTTGTGCTATAGTAAAAGCGGGGTTAGGGATTTGGGGAAATTGCGTCATCTTCGCAACTAAGTTTATGGAAAATCCTTCCGATGAAAGATTTAAAGGATAGACGAAGCTTTGGCATCGATTGCGGATCTAGTTTCGTCTGCAGGTATGTCGGTGTCCATCGATTATTTTTGGTCTAGTCGTCTCTCTGCTGGTGAGATTACATAAAGGCAAAGCGATAACGCTGGAAACAGAAACAGATGGTGTTCTGGTATATTTATCGTTTTCAATTTTTTTTTTTTTTCACATTTTCCTCATCTATGCATTCATAATTCTAACTAAAAGTAATTCGTTTTTACTTTTAGTTCTCGGAATACATCATTATCGAGAATTTATCTGATAGCAAATGCAGAAGTTCGAAACTTTTTCGTAGGTTTTTGAGGTTTTGATAAGATAGTTCTTTTTAGGCGAAATTAGTCGAATTTCCTACAGGAAATTAACCAAGAGAAGCGTTAGAATAAATAACCGGTTGTAATTAGTCAGATATTTGTCTTTTCTGTTGATGGGCATGTGCAGTGAGGAAAAAACAGTCAGTTTTCGGTTCAATAATCCAGTAGCAATTAGACCTGTCGGTTCATGTTTTAAGCTCTTGTATTCATGGTTTAATGACTGGCGAGGAAATGACCCTTTCCTGTTGATGTCAGAAAAAGATTATATTTACTAGATATGAATCGTTCATTCTAAGTTTTTTTTGTCATTTCTCTGGGACCGCCTCTATTCTTCAGCGACGGCTTAGGTTCGCACTGACCCAAATGCGTGATAGACTCTCGTAAACACGTAGAAATATTTTCTCAATGGAGCCATCAGAATGAAGAAGGCGAATTTCCTTCGCACAAATAAAACTCTTCCTTGTGACATCAGTTGAAAGAGAAGCATTGTTGTGAGTCATAGCGTCCTATTTTGGCAACACCTGTACTTCTTTGGATTAATTCCAGTCAGGTCACGTGATGCCGGCTGTGACCTTTTTGCTTCTTGCGCCCCGATAATTATGCCGAGTGGATTTAAACATAACGCTACGAGAGATAAACGAGGTCAGGCGTGAGACTCCCTCGCAGCAGCGAGACAGCGTGTGACAATGACCAGAGAGAGATACTCGGATTTTGAAGGAGGTACTCGAGGTAACTCGACCCTTAGAGACCGGTCGACTAAATAGGGTCAGATGCTTTTATCCCCAAATAAACGTAACCGAAACAGATCGGCGTGTCGGTCAAGTCCATTGAAGCAGTTTAAATGCATTTCCGACGATACGATAGGGAAGAATTCCAGCTAATCTGGCTAAACGACGTATCCCTCTCGGACGTAATCGCTCCGTTATCTCACCGGTGGAGTCGCTCTGCACCAAAATGCCTACCGGTGCACGCCATCCCGCTACTTGTTTTATCGTCTACGCTAGATAAATTGAAACTGCACGGGGAAAGAAAAGTAAACACATACCACGTGCTGTATCGTGGTGACAGTTTTGCCTCGGGACCACAATCGATTGGCGATCCACCTACTCCGTCTCGCGTGGTTTTTGTCAGGACGTGACGTCACATTAGAGGCGGTGTAAAACCGGAAGTGGTCGGAGGTAGGCTTTATTGGGGGTGTGTGGCGCACGCGACTGCTCCTCTCTTCTTTGTGTTCGAGGTAAGTTTGACCGCTGGAATCGCGTAACTATCCTATTTGCTTTTTTTTTAACATTCTGCGAGAACTTTTTAAACTGACGAACTTAATAGTAGCTTCCAACACTACAATAGCGCGTTTAGTAAGTCGTGTAATAAACTAGTTAGTCGGAAAATCTTCGCCGGCTCTTAATACTATAGCCCGTTATCATTAGAAGTTAATGTTATGTTGTGCACGACTGATTTCCATTGAAACTTCTGACTTCGAAAGAATAACGACCTCTGACTGACCGGATATAGGCGCCGATAACTTACCAACCACCCCTCGAATGAACGGTTGGACGCAAATTTTCCTAGTAAAATTGGAAGAAACTAAAATTAGAAAAGTTCGTGCCCGTATTGGTTGCAGGAGTGATTTCTAGAACGTTAACCATATACTGCAACACTACTTTCGCCGCTACGAATTGGGAAAGTATTGTCATGCGTCTAAATGGCCGGAATATAGTTTAATGTGTGTTCGATATTGCTAGTGTATTGTCAAACTGACTGCTTACTAACCCATTTCCATCAGGCAGCACACTATGTTACGTGCAAATATAACAATTGGTTAGGCATAAGTGGCCATGCATACTCTATGTGGCCGAGAGATACGAGGCCGACTGATGATTAGCCGAGCGTGATAAGCGGTTCCAGATTTTTGTTCTTTTAGAGTAGGTTTTGTAACTAAAATAAAGTAGACTTTGATATAAGCATAACTATCTTGTTCTAATTAACATGCATTTCCTACATTATCTCTTAATTAAAGTAATGCCAACTCATTAAAATAATTAAATACCGAATTTTAGTTAATTATTTCTTAAAGCATGCTGATTTTAATTTTAACACTTAAATCACCGAGATAAACATAAAAGAAGAAAAATGTCCGGTTCTACTTGCGAAATTGCCAAATCGTAACGTTTAAAGCTGGTATAATGATCGACGTCCGTACACGGTTGCTTTTGCTCACGGATTCTAGCGAAAATATGCTGCTGCTTCCTTCGAATTAAAATGATATAACTAGAAAAAAAATTGCAAACATTCGAAAAACAAATGTATAAAAATTGCAGAACAAAGCAGTTATTATTAAGGTTCACTTAAGAAAAAGCCAAGTAAAATATTCCTCCAGCGTGTCGCCATGGATATTTTTAGTCACAGACTTGTCTGTCCCACTCCGACTCTGGGATTCGTCCTTTAGGCCATCTACGCTTATATTAGTACAAAAGTAAATAAGGCTAGTCATCACTACTTACTCAATATCGCCTGTTCAGCTTCATTCGATTGGCCTATCATTGGAAAAAAGCCAACAGAAACACTTCACACACGTAAATTTTAATATTCGTCCGTGACCTATTATTCGATCCACACTCCTTTTCTTAAACTAAGTGGCAAAAATTACAGAACATTATCGAGTGATATTTAATGCATTAAAATCCAATCCGCAATCGAATCCAATATTGTGATTAAAAATAGCTTAAATCTTTATAATTTGGCTGATTTTTTTTGGTGGATAGAATCCGACATGTAATTTTTACTTCTGGAGCCAAGTTTCACCGAGAGCCTTCGAGATTTCCAATCGTAAAATTACATTTTAAAGAGAGAATGATGAAACAACTGCTATAAATTTCCATTTTCTATGTGTGTGTGTGTGTCATTGTCTATGTACTCTTTTTAAAATGTTTTTAAAAATGTTGTCACTCCAGCACACTTTATATTTTATAAAAATGTAACATGTCCACTTTGTAGCCTTTTTACGTAATTATTTACGAGGTTGTTGTTGAATTTGTGACTGTACGTCTCCGGGGTACAATATTAGGTCACGCAAATGTCAAAGTTACTGGGCGTCAACTGTACCTTTTGTCAGTTGTAAAAATGCCTAGTACGGCATTCGACTGTTATTTCTCCGTTAACCTTGTGCTTAAAAGTTCCTGCGAGGATACTTTGCCTCTTGACTACAATGCATTGTGGATAAGAAGGAATGGAGTTGCATTTTTAAATAGGAAACGTGTTCTGACGCAAACGGCAAGTTAGTCACGAGAGTAATAAATGCTTTAGATTTAAAAATATTCAAATTTATTGATATTTCGAAAGCCGATTTCGTTCAAATTTCTATTAACACAGAGATTGAGTGACAAATTGTATATTTTTCCTCCCCTCTTCGATTTTATAGCCCTCAAGAAAGTCTCACGCTATCGTATACTCGTTTCTGATTATTGACACACACACACACACACACACACACACACACACAAAGGGTGGGTACACTCTTTAATTTCCAATCCTGGAAATAAAGTATCAAATTCAAATAATTTTACGTAAACTGCCATTTAAAACCCAATGGCTTTCTCAGTATAACTGACGGATGATCTGACAATATAATGCAGTTCGTGTTGCGTAAAACTCCTTAGGGAATGGCAAATTTCCATGTGAATCTGGAGCAAAGATCCCTATTCCAGATTTCTTCCCTTCGTATCACTTAGCTTAGACCTATCAATTTTTCTCATTATTAAAATTTTATCGCCTGTAAAAATATTCCACCATGCAAATTCGAAAGCGGCAACTAAAACCAATTCAAAATTTAATTAAAAATCTTCCGAATTCGACAAAAATTAGGTTAATTTTTTTTTTCGTTAGAATTCGTTTACATAAAAAAGCATTAGGTTTAATTGAGTTAAATACGTTTTACTGCAGATATGTAAATAAAGAGCTAATTTAACTAAAAGCATCTCTTCTCGTTAATCGTAGCTAATTGAACTTGTTTCGTCGTAAAACTTGGAGTGTTTTCACGTTAAATTGCACCTTGGCATTAAAATTTTACATCTTATCTGTTTACCTCATTTAAAAAAAGTCTCCTTTATATTTAACTAGAATTCTATCGATTTTATTCTTTTTAACTAATTTCACTTAGATTAAACGGCGAAGAAAAGTTTCACGATTATTTTCCAGCTTAAAAACTATCTTTAAAAACAAATCGATAATGGGATTTTATGCTCTGACCATTTAAATATATTAAAATTTTACAAAATGACTTTGCTGCTGGATTTTTTTTATGTTGCTTACAGGTGATTTTTAAATATAGAGCACGTTTACTGAAGAATCGCATCTTTATTAAAAAAAAATTTAAGGTTCAATCTTACTACAAGAATATCTTCATTAAAATAGTGTATTAATTTTTTACTAAAAAAATATATTTATGCAAATTAAGACGGGAGAAAGTAGAATGAGATTACGATATCAAGTTTATTATAGTCTAATAGAAAATACTTTCCTGTTTAAACAATTAAAAATATATAATTCACTTCTGGATAAGATAACGAACCTATCGAAATAACATTATTTTCCGTAGGGGAGAGAAATTCGATATTTTTGTTGACAGAAGTCATGTAATAAATGCACACTAATTATGTACATACAGAACACTTTTCGATTATAATAACGTGACTAAAGTTTTTTCATTATTATTATTTTAATTTTAAAAGTTAAAACTCGATGGCTTCTACATATTAACTGGTATTATGTTCCCGATTTATTCATCTTACGCACTTTCTCCCACGTCTTTTTATATTAAATATGGATAGATAAACACGAAAGATTGGTGCTTTTTAATGAATAAGAACGTGTTTTTTTTATTCATTCAAACTATAGATCTACAATAGCGAATGAATGAAATTAAACAGTTGCTACTAGACAATTACATTTAGAATTCTGCTAAAAAAATCAAATGATTAAATGCTCTTTTAATTAAAAATGCAGGCTTACGATCGAATACATATGTTAAAGACGTCTTTAGATTTATTAAACCAACCTAAAACCAGATGTTCTTAATTCGAATTAATCTATTACTCTAAATATTTCGTACCCTTAGGACATTTTTTGATATATTTAATTTAAAAATTGCAATTGAATTAGTATAAAAATATGGTATTAATATAGAAAATTCGGAAAAATGTTTTAAAAAAAATGTCGTCTGTAACGGGTGACGCTCATTTAAAATTCGAATATTTGAAGGCAGGTTTTATAATAAATGAGATGAAAAAAAAAAGTAAATTTAGCAAGACGGTTTTCATCAAAAAAAAGCATATTTACCGATAAACACGTAAGCTTTACACAAAAGCGTATCGGGGTACAAAACACGAAATTCTAACAATAATGGCCAATTTTGCACGTGTTTCACTCAATGAATCTCAAATTTGATTGGCCGGATCGAATCATTGAACCAGATGTTGCATTGCACGTGGCTTATGATGGTAAAGGGGGTGCTTTTGTCGAAACGGACAATTACGTTCGGTTTATCTCCAAAATTCGTCAGCGTAAAAGCTTCTTAATATAATTAACGTTTTCAAAAATGAAAAAAAAAAGAATTTTGTTAATATTTCTAATGAAATGTTATGAAAATTTTTGCCTAGCAACTCGGCATATACATATGATTATAATCGCCCCCATCGTCCTGAATAAGATAAGCTTCATTGATGTTTAGAAATGGAGATATGGGTGAGAAGAAAAGTCTTTTATGCACAGTATCAGGGTAGTTTTCGTGTATAAAATCTTTAGTTAGGTGAAGAGACTCTGGTGGCATATTTAGTCACAAAAATATCCAAAAAGGTAGACGAACCTAAATTTTTCGAATCTTTTGGAGTGAGAATATTCCCATCTGCTACGAGGTCTCCACCCATCTATCTTGGAATTGGGGGTGGTGCTCGATGACGTCACGCTGGAAACTCCCCTCATTTCATCATAAACGGAACAGTTTAGCCAACTGTGATTTCTCCCCCCTTCTTTACCTTTCATTAGAATATCTCTTCGGTGCAGTACTTTTTCGATAAATTGATATCGAACTAGCTTTACTGATTTTAAAAAATGCCGAGTATAAAGATTCCTATTTCTTTTCTCTGGTGGCATTTATATTATTGTTTACTCTGGTACAACGGCTAATCCTGCTCTAACAAGCTCTCCGAAGACTATTTTTAAAACAAGCTATTTTATTTCCACTGTCTGTATATCAGGTAAAGTATTTATTTGATCTTTCAATTTTCAGAAAAATGATCCTCACTTCTGGAAACTTTGTACTGCTTTTCTTGAGTAAGAACAGATGCTATAGCCAATTATTATAGAAAGAATCGATTCGGTTCTTGGAAAAAATCGATTTTAAGTAACGACAATCTTTAAACTTTATAAAATTTTAGAGTAAGGTACGGTTTTTGTAAAAAGAAAGAGTAAGTGTCGTCGTCGTCGAACGAATAAGTTATATTTGGAGTTAGATGAAACCGGACTGTTTTTGTTGTTAAGGAAAATGGGTCATTTTAGGGAGTGGCCGAGATTACGCCATACGATTTATCACCATTTTTGTTAAATTCGACCAGCTTAACTGAATGTTAAACTGTAGAAGCTTATGTATAAATCGTAACCGAATTTAACTATAAATTGGTGTTGAACGAACCAAGCAGTTATTCTAAGTAAAAGTATGTGCATCTAAACGGATTGCCATTTCTTCCCACAGTCAAACATGTTAGGGGGCCCAGAACATCCATTTTGCAAGGAACCCTCTCCGGATCCTGCACCCAGACCGGTTCCCAGTTCAGCCTTTCTTTTGAAACCTCATGAGAACCACGACGACAAACCCAATTATCCCATTGAGCGAAAAGCTCGAAAGTACAAAATAATTGAGAACATAATCAAAATGTTTATGAATAAAACTATCGCTTACAATTAAAACAAAAAGGTTTTTTGTTTCCACTTGATCGATAAACCTTAGTTTTATACCAATCACGAAGAATAATGAAATATTTATGAAAATTTTCCATTCTTTACATTCTAGTAAAAGAATATCAGTGAATGACCTTCCCGCAAAATGAATAGGGACCCAAAAAACTGCTTGTTCTATAGTAAAAACCTCGGATAAGTCACTCTTAAGGGGCCATCGCACCTTCTAGTCTTTCTTATGTCATTCGTCACAAAGCTCTTCGCACCTGGAACATATTTTAAAAAATTAACACCTGTGCGGCAACAATAAACAGTACTAATCTATTAAAGTAAACCAAGATTGTGTCAATAGAACGTATATCTAATAATCTGCCACCGATTCGCTCGCCCCGGGGAAAACGCAACAGGTGATGATTATACCTAACGAAAGAGGATAGGTGTAATCCTATATAAGCAATGAAAAGGATTATCAGTGGTAATTGTACTTGTGACAATAATCGGAGGAGGATGTGGTCAGTGGCTAACAGCTGATATAACGGTCCTATGTCAACACCTGGAATATCTTGTCGTCGCTAATAAATCTACCGCAGATAGATCTACCCGAACGAAAGATCCTCCACCCAAACTTAAATTGGCAAACTTATCGACTATTGAAGCAGAAACGGGCGAGGAGCTTTGTTTTTCCGGTTGAAAAAAATTATTAATTAGTAACATCGTTAGTAGAAGGTTCCACCCAAACTTCTTGCGGTATATAAAGTAGTGACGTTTTACATTTTGCGTTCTTTTAATACTAAAAAGTGTACATGTTTTACCATTACTGCCGCTTGTGCACCTAATTCTTAAAACGTACGCTGTTTTTACGATTGTGCTGCTCATTCTCTTCCAGACAACGTAAAACATCTGAGGGCGGAGCCTGAACGTGACGTCACAAGCAGAGTAGTGGTGTCGGGCGAGAAGTAATATTGGACAACAGAGATGGGGAGACTCACCATCGGGACTGTGGTGGTGTTAGCTGCTATCGTCCCGCAGGTAAACATCAGAGAATTTTTCTTAACAGCTTTTATTCACGTCAAGGCGAATTTTACAAATTTTTTTTCTCGTCTTATAGGTGTTGGCTTCGGGTGTTTTCGAACTCCGACTTGGAACTTTCACAAACGATGAAGGAAGATTAGCTGAAGGAAATTGTTGCGGTGCATGCCCAGGTGTATGTGCAACTATGTTTCGAATTTGCTTGAAGCATTATCAGACCACTATTGATCCAAATTCACCGTGTACCTTCGGCGAAAGCGTAACTCCAATTTTGGGTAATAACAGTGTTTACTTGGTTGATCAGACCACTCCTGGATTTAACAACCCTATCAAATTTCCGTTTAATTTTTCCTGGCCGGTAAGTCTATCCAAAAGCGAAATTTAATACCTAGAATGCATTTAATTCTGTCTCGTTTAATTGTTTTGTTAAGAATTAGTGCAATCGTACTAAACAGTGTTTTTTTTAACAATTTTCAGGGTACTTTTTCTCTTATTGTCGAAGCCTGGCATAGTAATACCACAACAGGTGAAGGTAAGTCTTTTAAACATCGTAGATTTTGTTTACACAAAAGTCTGTGAGAACCAACGTGACAATATGTCAGTGCAGGGGACGTAAGATCCCAAGGCAACTAGACATTTAACAACAACAAATCCACCACGTCATATCCGTTTTACGGGACAAGTTGTCAGGTAGCTAAGTGTGGGAACTTGTCCCGAGGGCTAATACTCCGCGAAGGGGGGAGAGGATCGTACGGTAGCTAGGGAGGTGTGTCTACGAAACTGGGCCCTCTAATGAGTCGAATGTTTCACCCCCTTTACACTGTCTCGGGCCTCATTTCGATTCGCAATCAAAACCCGGTGCCGATGCGTTTCGTACAAAAAAAAAACCTCCTATAGTAGCATAATAGGATTGTATTACTGTGTTCTTAACCTAGCCTCCTTTTCCTCGTGTTTCCCATCCTTGTCCCCCTCTTTTTGTCCCCTCTCGGGTCTGTCAAGGTCGCCAAGCTAGGAACCGTGAGAAAGTAAGCTTCAGACGATCAGGCAAGCAAATGATGGCGATCATTCAAAAACGGGATTGAAAATACGGTGCCATCGCTTCGATCTGATTATCCTTATTTGTTTTCAGGTGAAACCAGGTCTCTTATAACGCGACTCACGACTCAAAGATGGTTAGAAGTCAGGCCGGAATGGACTCAAGACATATATAGCACAAACCATACTAGCATGATTTATTCATATCGAGTCACCTGCGACGAGAATTATTACGGGACGTCTTGCGAGAAACTTTGTCGTCCAAGAGACGATAAGTTTGGTCATTACACCTGTAACTCAAATGGCGACCAAGTGTGCTTGACCGGATGGTCTGGAGAGTATTGTTTGAAACGTAAGCTCACTTCTTTGCACAGATATATATTTTTTCCCTTTTTGTTTCTTAATCTAGAATGCGGGTTAATTTTTTTTTTTTTTTTTATATATATATAGCTGTCTGCTTACCTGGCTGCCACGAACAACAAGGTTATTGTAACCAACCGAACGAATGCAAGTAAGTATAGATTCAAATTTCACTTTCGTGCTCGCATTTTATATTTCCGAATGGATTTGTAACTGATGATTGTTACAGGTGCCGCATCGGTTGGCAAGGATGGATGTGTGACCAATGTATTCGTTACCCCGGTTGTATACACGGTACGTGCAATCAACCCTGGCAATGCAATTGCGATGAAGGTTGGGGTGGATTGTTCTGTAATCAAGGTAAATATCGAAACGAAAAATCTCGTGGAGGGAAGAAGAAAAATAAATTTGTAACTATTTTTTTTCTTTCGAATAGATTTGAACTACTGCACGAATCATAAACCTTGCAAAAACGGTGGTACTTGTACCAATACCGGTCAGGGTTCTTACACTTGCACCTGTCTCCAAGGTTTCACTGGCACTAATTGTGATACTCATCTCGATGCATGCTTACATCAACCGTGTCTTAATGGAGGAACTTGTAGGGTAAGTCTGAAATTTCGTGGCTACTTCACCAATCTTTACAATGAAGAAGATTAATAGAAGATATTTTTCTTTCAGAGCACAGAAAGGAATTACACGTGCGAATGCTCCCTGGGTTATTATGGACGCCACTGTGACACAACAGCTAGCACTTGTACTGAGAATCCGTGCTTGAATGGAGGCACTTGTATTGATGATGGGAACGGCTTTCGATGTCTTTGCCTGGGTAATTACGAAGGAGCACGATGCAATGTTCTCAAGTCAACATGCGATGAAAATCCATGTCTTAATGGTATGGTATTTTATCCATACAAAAATTTGAAATTCAATAACTTCAATTTTGCAATTCTAATTTTATTTTATGATATTCTTTAAATTTTTTTATTGTTTATATTCGATTTATAGGTGGAAGCTGTACGGTTACGGATAATTCATATGTTTGCGAATGTGCAAACGGTTTTACAGGAAACAACTGTGAGCAAAAGAACGACGAATGTTCTTCCAATCCTTGTGAGAACGGCGGTGTTTGTGTGGATGGCAGGTGCCTGTGCGTCCCCGGCTATGTGGGAACTTCCTGCCAGACAAACGTAGACGATTGTCTCACAAAGCCGTGTGCTAACGGTGGTACCTGCTACGATCAGATCAACGACTACAGCTGCGTCTGTCAACCCGGTTTCACCGGCAAGGATTGCTCCGTGAATATAGATGACTGCAGTTCCAATCCTTGTCAAAACGGGGGGACGTGCGAGGATCGCGTCATGGAATACGTGTGTGTGTGTCCTACAGGATACAGCGGTGCTCTATGCGAAATATCTCCTTCTGGAAATGCCGTGGAACCCCTTCATCATGGTGACAGTGCAGTGTCGCATCAAGTGTCTGAAGTGATGTCCGGCAAACAAGTGGCTCTGATAGCCACTCTGTCTTCTGCTGTTCCCTTTATTGTGTGTTTAGCCATGTTAGTGATTTTATGTTTGAGATATAAAAAGAAACGCGATCAAAGACGACAGGAAGAAGAAATGAAGAGACAGAACGAGCAGAACAGTATGAACAATAAATATGCAGATAAACAAATATATAACACATTAGACAGACCTAAAAATTTAAAACTGACCAACGAAGAAACGTTGGCTTATACAAAAGAATTACAACGAACTAAATCAGTGAAATTATTAAATACAGCTCAAGATAGAGACTGGCTTTGCAAACAAAATACGATGGATAGAAGACATCCGACAGCCAGCACTAGTCACAGGTGAGTTTTTTTTTTTTATCGATTTGATATATATTAATTCATTAGCCAAAGGCAACTCGGCATTTCTCATTCAAATTGTAAGTAATAAATTACAAATATTTTTATCATTGAACCATTTGTTACATTGTTTCTACTGTATCAATCACTCGTAAAAAAAAACAAATGATAATTTACATTTAAAAAATATTGTACGGTATTAAAATAAATTTATTCTATTTTTAGTGAGAGGCGGCCTCAAGATCCCAGTATATATGTGATAGAAGTTCAAGATCCGACAACGCATCCAAGAGTAGAAAAGATGCTTGCTACGGAAGTCTGAACACGTCTAAACAAAGATTTTAAGTGCAAGTGCCTTGCTTCTGTATAGTATTTTGTATCATTGTACAGTCCGCGAGCTCTCAGATACCTCCGCCCTTCTCCTTTATTTATGTGTGTGTGCGAGAGAGACATTGTTTCATTGATATTTTTAAGATGCTCTTTTTAGAAGTCAGGGTTCGTTTCAGTTTCAAATGTTTTTAGTCACTGGTAGTACGCACAGATCGACACATCAGAGTTCTAATAATGTATAGTTCGGTTGTGTACATAAATGTCTGTATTTATAAATTTCATGCTGTACATATAAACATCCAACATCTTGTCAAAGAAAAAATAAAAGTCCTGGACGTGTATTTTTGTAACAGTATCTCAACGATTGATGAAATTTTACCCACTTCGTTCACCTAATACGCCACGCCTAATCGAATTTAGAAAAAAAACGAATTTATTATCATAATTACGTTCTTCAGCGAAAGCTAAAAACGAGTACAGACGAAGACGAACGTGTACTAAAAAACCAAAATTAGTGCAAAGAAAGAAAAATCAACAGTGTTCCCCGAGGCGAGGAAGTGTTGGGTGACTCCTATATATTACCTTGCGTCATTTTCCTGTGAGAATTTTCCTACTGCCCTTGAGTCAATAGCCACACCAGCTTCGGGCCAATAACAAACTCGCTCCACAACTCGTGGTTACAAGGACCCCGCTCTAACTCTGTCCTGTTTATTGTTGACACTTTTAAGTTAACAGGGTCGATTATACGAAACGGAAATAAACTTTCCTTTCTATTTTAATTACTGTCCGACTCGGGACTCAATTCACAGACAAAATTACAGCTTCCGACAGGGCCCTAAAAAGTCCCAAAATTGTTTTACGGGCATCATTCTTTAAAATACCGATTATGTTCCTAAACGAATAACATCATTAGCTAAATGACTTTACAACTCTATTAAGAGTTTTGTTGCAGGACATCGCAAGGGAGGCTTTAAATCTTTTTTTATGACTCGCTCAAAGGAAACAAATCGGATACGCATTGGACCTTTCCGTCGGGAATAAACAATCCCGTCCATCCTAAATAATATGTTCCGTATACAATAGAACAAATCCTGTACATAGAAAATTGATTCGAAAGAAAATTACCCGAAATCCGTCTTAATCTTCTCTCCTACGAGACACGCCCTTCCACAAACCAAAAAGTATCCCTATAAATCGACTTTTGTAGTGCTGCCATCTATTGCCGGATTTCATAAAGGGGGAAATCCACCCCGTCACGAAATCTGTAATAACTGACATTAACGATTTAAGAGAGACGATGCGATTATCAAAAATTATCACGTGATAGTCATTTGACTTCAATCTTGGGCGTATCCTCAAACAGAATCGATCTTACGTTGGCAAGAACACTTGGGAAAGCTAATTTTATCAACCCTTATCGTGTCTGCTGGAAAAGTTCGCCTTTTCTAATTAACGCTTATGAATTTTATAAAAGGTAAATAGAGGAAACTTTGATAAGTTTCCGTAAACACGCTTGTAAATAATTTTTTTTTTAAATAAAGGGACAAGGTTTATAGAAGTCTTGACACCTGCAGGTCTTTGCACTCTCTCATCATCATCATCATCCACTATAATGAGGTAATGTTTCACATGAAAGAACAAGGCGGTGATAAGAAATGGGACGAATCATCAACCGTGTTCCTGATTGAAAATTCTTGTATTTTTGCTTTGTTTTTAATTACATAAAATAGAATTTAGAGGGTTAAAGTGATTTTTCTATTTTTAATTGTTCCAAAAACGAGGACAATAGATAATCGAAGCGATCAAAGATTCACACTAGTTCCTCTATGTATAATAGGGGCGGATATAGTTTTAGATTTAAGCTTTTTAAAAGTTTTTAATTATTTACTCCGAATGGTATTTCTTTGAATTGCTATCTTTAAATATGGTACCGGATAATTGATTTAATTCCGGGAAAAATTCTTGTAATTCTGGAACGTTTCCTGTGTCTATAAAGATACGTGTTCTAGATTTTAATACAGTAAATATACAATAGATGGCGCTAATGATAGTATTGTAGAAATATCCGTAATTACCACAATATAGGCTACTCCGTGATATTTTGGTCTCGTCATACCGGATAAACGGCTTACAATTTGAGATGAATCTCTAAGTGAAATATATTCTATCGACTTGGGATAGAAGATAAAATTCTATTTCCAGTGCATTCCGTGAAACAAAACTAATAATGTGTGTCTGATGAGAGAGAGGTGATGAGAAAGTCGAAAGAACGAAGCTTTAGCGATTGAGGAAAAAAAGACAGAGATCGTGAGAACTAATGTCTGTATCGTGATTAATTCCGCTGACGGATACGAATAAGTAAAATAATCACGTAACATCCTAAGTACCGACAAACTATTTTCTAAATTACATCTTTATGAAAACTTTTATATAGACCTGCTGTAATTCGGGAGAAATAGAATGAATGAAAAGTGAATATTACGTCCGTAGCATTTCGAGTTCCATCTTATGAATGAAATTTCATAGTATCGATTGCAAATAGACCGACTTATAAGTTTCGAAATCGTTGTTTATATAATTTACGTTTTCATGGTCTACTTCCTTATATTAGCTATTTAAAGAAATGGTGTTTATGAAAATTAATTTATAAATTTTATAAAATAGAACTTTGAAAGAAATTTCCGTGCGCTGCTTTAAACCTTTCTTGTTTTAGGACGGAATGAATAGTTTCATTCTATTTAAATATTCAATCGTTTGGGACTGTTAACAATTGTTAATCCTAAAAATCTCGTTAGCCTTTACGTATTATATAATGGTTATTAATTTTTGTTAGATTTAATATAAAATATTTAAAACAGATCGATTTGCTAAATATTATCTGATCATCTTAATAAACGATTAAAATAGATAAACTAATAATTTACTATATTCGTATGAAATCATATGAAGGAAATGCATCTAAGTTACAATAACGAATTCAATAAGATAATTAAAAACTGGCCACCTTAGAATGAATAAATAATTAATAACAATAATAAAACGTCCCCGATACGATTCTAGAGAACACGCGTAAATTGTTTGGAAGAGAACAATAATCTTAGGCAATTAAAACATGCCTAATATCAAAGTAATCGATAGAAATGCGAGATATCGAACAATGCCATTCGTAAACAATACCATAGAAAGTTTCTTCTATTGAATAACTTAGACGTACAGTACAGCAGAGTGGTCAATTGTGAATGATTAAAATAGTTATCGATAACAATTTCGTGTCATAAATCTAGTCGTAATACAGACATAACAAATCAGATTTTAAGATTTAGATAAGAGTTACATAAGAAATGAAATGACACTTAGATGCGATTTCGCTTGTAATTTTCATCTAAGTATAAAAAGCAATGATTTTAAACACCTGTAACAAATAATTACATACTAATGTTAGCATTACTGCCTACAGCATATAATAAATTTGGCTTTAGTCTCTACGGCAGTTCTTTCAAGGTTTTTTTTCGTCCTGTATAGGATTTACTCCCGTCACAATAAATCCTGCATTGTTTATCTATCCTCTTTAAATTAATCTTCTTTATAAATAAACATTATACTGTAAACATTAAATACCTATTTTTATTCTAGAACATAATTATTGTTTACTTACATTAAATTATTAGTTTGTAATTATTACATTATTATTTCAACTGGAATTTAATAAAAACACGATTAAGAGCTAATAAATCGAATAAAAATATGATAATGATATACCTTAATGACACCCATACACTTTATAATGTTATGGATAAATGTCATCCATATTTTAATCTCGCCTGTCATCGATTTTCATTTCTTTTTTCGTAACTGCAAGTCACGAAGTATCTCTCTTCGATAAATGACAATTCAATAATTTGTAAGCTTTCATTTTTTCTAATCCAAATTGTAATTTAATTATTAATTATTGTTATTACTATTATATTATTCAGGAACAATATTAAACACTTGATTTAATTTTATTTAAAAAAAATAAATCACATTTTCAGTTTAATAATTTCCTATAGAGAATATTTTTTGAGTAATTGTCAAAATCAGAATGTGGAACAGAAATTCAGACTTGTTCGAAAACCAAAAAATTAGTTTAAAAATAATTAGAAACTGGTTTAATATTTTTTCTCCCTCTCTTCTGTTAGATACGCTAATTGACCATCTTAATTAAGCCTTTAAGTTAAATACTTTACAGACAATTCATAAAGCATATACAAAAGAAACAGATGTTTAAAAACAATTAATCTACGCGAAATTTACACACGGCTTTTTGTCTTTAAACCGGAGATTTTAATTATTGCATTTCTTCGGTTTTACTTAAATAACAATATAATTCAAATTAACGTTAATTTAATAATTTTCTTTAAAATGTGTTTTTAATTATATATAGATAATTAAATACAATTATCCTATTATATTTTTAGAGAAATAGCTGGATATTTATTGTTTCCATTATGACTTGTTAATTGTTGTGAAAAATTGAAAATATTGTTGTAATTATGGTAAAATATCTTTCTGATAATTATGCATTTTGTTTTTATAATAAATTCTTTTGGTGTCAATAGTTTTCAAGTTATTATTTGGTTGACTTTTAGAACGAAACCTTTACAAATTTGGTAATGATCCAAAATAGCTTTTTTCTTAATCACTGCTAGAGAACATTATCCTTGACTATTATAACCGATGTTTAAAAAAATCTACTCGAATAGTTTAATTTAATATTTAGTCTTTACTGTACTGAATTCTGTGACGTCACTTATTGTTAGCGCAATTAACAATAAAGTCTAATGTCAATTGTGACGTTATTTTCACCTTGAGAAGACCTTCTGTTAACAGAATGATTTTTTCTTTCTTTTTTTACAAATACTTAGACGATTTTAGATCTTTAAGTTGTAACCTTTCGCCAATATCCTAATTTAACTAAAGATCAGTTTAGAATTTACCACTTTTATTTAAAAAATTTGAAAACAGCATGAATAAGCAGAAGCATATTTTGAAAGCATGCTTTTGTTTTTCAAATATTTTGCCAGTTGTTACTGGTATATCCAAAACAATAAAACAGATGGTTTAAAAAATGTGTTTAGTAATAATGAAATGATTTTATAATTACTAAATATCAGCGAAAGTACTTTAAATTGTAAATTTATCAACGAATCAGTTGACATAAAATGGTATAAAAGTAGCTATAATAATCGATCATAGCTCGTAAAATGAAGACGAAGCACCTGTTTGATGTTCTCTTTTTACCTGTTTAAATAAGGTCAAGGTTACAACCTATACCTCTTTCTTTTTCCTTCGTCCTTTTTTTTCATTAAATTTTGATAAAAAATAAATTTTACACTTAAATTTATGAATATTATGAAATTAACTAAATCGAAGTGGCACTGATGAAAATATTAACATTCTCTAAAGCATGTTTTATTAATAATAATCTGTTCATTTTTAAGCTAAAGAGTAGAAGAAATCAATTAAATGATGATAATTGAGTTCAAAGGATAAACATTAATCGTTCGTTAATCTGAAAGCACGTGTTTACGAAAAAATAAAAGCACGTGCTTTTTTACAATCGAGTAGTGTCTTATCAATAAAGATTTAAACAAGAGATTTCACCATTAACATAATTTATTTTTATGCGAATTATAATTTAACCTTATTATGTCAATTAAGTGAAAATATTTCTTGTAACCTATATACTTGGTAGAGATGTGTAGTTGCAAGCAACTTCAAATGTTGCATCATACGAGTAAATGCGCGAGTTTCTCGTTTACTATTACGTCACGAGAATAGCCTCTCGTCATTGGTGGATCGTTCGATTCGTAGGGGAAGGAAACACGTGTCGTGTTAGGGTCTTCCTTTTATATTCACTTTCTAGGCTGACGGTCTGTACGGTAAAATAACGTTTAATAATGAACGGGTTGTGGGTGTTTGGATACGGATCCCTGGTATGGAATCCTGGATTTGCATATCGTGATAGTAAAATTGGATATATCTGTGGATATAGCAGGCGATTTTGGCAAGGAAATGACGTTCATCGAGGCACACCGGATAGGGTAAGTTCTCTCTCTTTTCTTTTTTTTTTAAGCATACGTTGATTTTTAAAACTAAATTTTATTTATTTATTTCTTAAATCTAGCCTGGAAGAGTAGCTACATTAATAGAAGATTGTTCGGTAAGTAGAAAGTAATTTTTATTTATTAATTTTTAAAAGACTTGATTTAAACTAAATAGAATTTAATTGCATTCTAGGGTATAACGTGGGGTCGAGCCTTTCTGCTAGAAAACGAAGATAGTAACAGTTCGTTAGCCTATTTAGAAAATCGCGAAGGTAAATTGGGAGGATACAGTGCTACTTTTGTGAAGTTTCAACCACGTGATCGAAAAGAAGACACGATTCCAGTTTTGCTATATATTGCTCGCGATAACAACAGGCTGTATATCGGACCAACATCTCTACCTCAATTAGCTACAGAGATAGCTACTTCTATTGGCAACTGTGGACATAATGCCGAATATTTAATGAGATTGGCTCATTTTATGAGAGAAAACGTTCCGGAATATTGGGACGATCATTTGTTTACATTGGAAATGTTAGTTAAAGATCGATTAAAGGAAGAAAACATTCCACTTAAGAGTTTGATGGGTGATTGGGACGTATTCAACGACGATTATGCTCCTAGGCAAGAGAGCGTTACGGAACCATCTACGTCTAGCAGGACCGATTTCTCTTCGCTAGTTCCATCCAGGAAGTTACGTTGCCTCAACATTTGAGTTTGCTATCTCAATATCACGTGAACTGATTTTGTAATTTATTGGTGAAGTTCCTAACAGAAAATTCTAAATGTGTTCTTATTATACTACGAATCACGTCTTCCACTTGGTAACGCGTTTTAAACAATGACTATGCATTCCGGCTTTGTCAGCCGGATAAGGGTACCATTCATTCTTGAATTACCTTTTTTGTATTACAATTACAAATAAATTTTTTCTTTTTGTAATTTGAAGATGTTCTTCGGGTTACTAATCTTCTCGAATGACAATTTTTTTAAAAAATCTTTAAACGAGAATTAATTTTAATAATTTTTAATCACGGAACCTTCTACTTTTCCCCTAAGATCGAATGACTACTGATTTTTTTATTCCGTTTGGAATTATAAATAGCAGATAGCTAAGGACCCCTACCATAAAGTTTTAAATAATTTTTTCGGAATTAAAATATATTAAGAACTCTAAAACATTATGTAATTTTCAAAATTATATTTTTAATTTAAATTTTTAATGGTCGAAAATGGTCGAAATTCATATAGACTAAGCATGGGCAACCTGCGGTCCTCTGTAATCTTTTCTATGTTTCGCATGCCATCAAGATTCTTAAATATATTTGTCATAAATAATTTAAAATAAGTAAGTCATAAGGTTAATTGTGTTTATCACATCAATGCTTTTCTTGTACTTATTTGATATTTTTCTTAATTTATTTATAAAGGTAAGGAGGATGCTCGGGTCCCAGGGCCACCCACTCCCTGGTTACGCTACTGCCAATGTTTTTAGTGTTTCTGCCAGACCTCGCATCAAAGTGTCATATGGCCCTTTATCACAGAAGAGTTGCCCACGCATGATATGGACTAATGATGTCGAGTCAACGACATTCGTGTCAAATTTGGCACGTGGAGAAATTTTCGTGTCACTTCAAAAAATTAGAAAAATTCTAATAAATTTTGTTTAAAATTCTTTCAACAAAATTGAAGTAAAATTTTAATTTAGAAATAATCCATTCAATACTTACATTAATTTAGAAAAACTAGGATTTAAATTGATTGATTTCTAGCACAATTCAATACGGAAACAAAAATTCCTTTGTGCGAAGGTCATTGAAGAAAATGAACGAGATGGAAATAAAACTTTCGACGTGGATTGATAAAACACAAAAAATATATAAAGAAATTTAGAAATAAATTACTATAAATAGATTTGTTTTAAACAATATTTCCTCTCTTACATCCCTGTAAAATTTTATTTCGTAACATAAATCATATACAGTACTTTCTGATAAACGAAATCGTTAATAGCAGAAATACTAAAATTTGTTTTGTTCATAAAGTTAAAAGCCAAATATTAATTGCTGTCACAGATGCAGCAACAGAAGTCCAGTAATATTATACCTATATTCTACACTGGTACTCGTATATATATATATATATACTGTTTATGGTGGGTGTAGCCAAGAAACAATCTATGGTTCGAATATTCTACCCTTACGTATTCAAATATTATTGTTACTACTAAAATATCATATGTAATTTTGTGATTTGCATATTTATTTGAATCAAACCGTATTTGTGTGCTGAATTTATTTCAAAGTATCAATAAAATATCACTAAATGCGGAATTAAATGTTTTTCAGAAGCCCAAGCCACTCCATTTGTTGGCCTGCAATTTGACAAAATTGTAGACCTATAAATTCCCGCTTTCGCCCGTCCGTCTGTCTTTCCTTAATCTTGAGAACAGAGTTAGATAGATGTAATCCGAGACAAGACATGGATATCTTAGAGACAGGAAGGCCCGATTAACTATATAAAAACTTCTGATGCAAACCTGAGTTACGTTATTTCAATTAAAAAATTCCTCCCCCGAAAGATGTTAGACAGATGACCGGCACGATTCTACTATTAAAGGAAAAGTATGATGTACAGGGACAAGTCACTACTAATTTGAGGTGGAGAGTATCTATTTTAAATGAAATAAATAAAAAATATGATTAAAAATTGCAGCTCTGCATTGTGACGATGTCACAATAAATAATTACCTGTTCTTTTTAATTATTTGTATTATACTGGTATAAAATCTCTTTGTATTTACTCTTATTTGAATATGTATTTAGTAACCGTTAAAATCTTAAAAAAATAAATAAATATTAATAGCTGCAACTAAAACATTGACACTCGGTAGATTGGATCACGTTGGATTCATACGATTTTGGCACACATGAACTTTTGAATCTGACATCTTTGATACATGCAGTGTGCTGGTGATTAAGGAAATAAATTTAGTTAATTCTTTGAAGATTTTTCTGAATTTTTTATGTAAATTTATGTTAATTAAAATTTTCTTTAGACAGAAACAAATTTTTCATTACAATTCCGCGGCTTAATGATGACATTAATAATTTTGACCGTGACCTTGTGTATTACAGATTTAGTGATTAATTGCGAGTGTGACGTTCGAAATAGTCTTGTCAGAATATAAGAAAAAAGATTAAATGACCATCAAAGACGTTAAACTCATTTGAAACATGTTTTTTGAAGATTACGTAGGCCAACTAAAGTGACGTCATTTGCAATCAATTATTTGGTATGTAAAACACACAGCCGTGGTTTTGACGCTATGACGCAGTGTGTCGTATATCAACGATTAAATACGTCACAAAACGATACATTCAAAATATACACTCAAAATCCAATGTCATGCATGTTGATAAACAATTAAAGACGTAGATATGTAAATGAGCTCGCGAAATTACGTCACAAATATTAACGTAATTAAGCATAATTATGTTTCATAAATATATTCATAATTCTAACAAATAACTTCTCAGATTAATGACGTTAATTTCAAAATACATCGAACTACGCGAAAATATTTTTTTCATATTATTCTATGAATTCATCTTGCTAATTTTGATGTAAATATTTTCAGTATAATTTCATAAAAACGATTATTTTTATTAAGATTAAAATTTTTAATAAAAATATAATTAATTTAATTAATTAATAAACACTAATAATTTTTGTGAAGTCGAAAAACTTGTATCTATTACTATTTTAGAAAATGATACTGCATACAAATAAGTTTTAAGAGAAAAATTTATATTTCCAAGTTAAAAAAAATAAAAAATTCCGTGAAAATAATTGTACTTAGATATTATATTTTGCTACTTTTACATCATATCTGTGCCCACTATTTAAAACCATTGAACACTTGGTCGCGTGTTCGCGCCTGACAAACGGGCTGGCCACGTGGAGTTTCCGGATTTTCTTCACGTGTCTAAAAGCTAAATAGGGGTTAGTTTTCAATAGAAAATTCTCCCGGAGAGCAATCCCTCTTTGCAGATCACGTTGCCTTATCCATCAATCCTACAATCCTTTACATTATTTCTAATTTTACAAATTCCTAATAATTCACGATTACCAAAATATTCTAGCTTCAGATAAAAAGAGAGAGTTACGTAAAACTTTTCCCTTAAGCAAAACTAATACATAACTAGAATTTTAAGGCCCTCATGCAAAAAGTTTTAATGGTTCCCATAGAATGGAAATCATTATATTTTCAATAAACTTCTTTCATATTGCACGATAAAGCTTTATCATAGAAGAAATACCCTCAAATAATGTATATACTTATAAAATATTAATATTTAAAACATTCAAGCAGCTCGAGGCTCCCAAATCTCTATGGCATCCTCATTACGGGAGTCTAGTTGCACCTTGATATAATCTATTTACTTCGTCAATTCAGTTCATTAAAAAAAAAAAAATCCGTGAAAAATGTTAATATAATCTATTTATGAGCGAATAGGCGCCAACTTTAAGTGGTGCCAGACCACCAAAGTTTTGGAAGGCCACTTAAAATATTGGGGTTGAACGGGTAGAGTTGGCGCCCATGTATGAGCGTTAAAAAATTTATATATTTGATAATCTACTGTATTTATCATTTATATTAATTTAAATTATCATCACGTACTTGTAAAAAGTTAATGTAGAAATTGTTAATGGATAAAATAGAACTAAGTAGGTATCGTCGGAATTATATATCACGAAAAGGAAACTTTTACGTTGTATAACCTTGAGTCATAATTTATACGGTTCACATTAATTTATAAAAACATTCCCAAATGGTTATTTATCGATAAGTGATCGATTCTATCAGTATATAAAGTTTCTAATTTATTTATTTTTTATTAAATCGACGTCACATAACGAAAAATTGCTAAAGGCAAGGTCTACTGGATTGAACTGGATCACTCTCTCATATGTTTTATCTGTCCCACTTTTAAAAGTAAATAGTTAATGTGCATTATTAGTTGATGTAAATTCGATTGCGTGACAGCAAATGTTTCCTACTTTATCGGTTGCCAGTTTCATGTATTAATTCTGGTTAAGAAAAAAAAAGTCACGAATGTTCTTGAGAATTTTATGGCAAAATACTTTGCGAATAGAAAAATTATAAGTGAACATTAAAATAAGACTCTATATATAGCTTTAAAAAGATTATTTTCAGTTGATTTTGGATAAGATAGTATTTTTTCAGTATTAAAAATTTATCTTAATCCAATTATCGCTTGTTTAAAATTACCTTGAATTATCGGAGAGACAAGAATTTAAAGATTATTTAAATCGGTATCAGTGTCAATCCTTTATCTTATTAGTTTGTCTTTCGTAACTTAAACGTGATCGAGCTTTTGTTTCTGTAATAAAGGTTGAAAGGTTTTTATTGTAGCAATAGTTATAACCAGTATTTTATTTATTTTCTTCAGAAAAAAATCACTTTAATGCTGTTGAGAAACTGAAAATTTTAAAAGGCTGCACTTTAAAATTTTCAACTTATAAAAATTCATTTCATATTTTAAAAATTTTAAAATGATATCCTCTATTTATAAAGGAACATTCCACGAAAAATGTCTCTAATACCGTTTTCTCGAGTATCATTTAAAGAATATTGTCAAAAATTTTAATGATTTCTAATACAGAAAATAAATTTTAAAAAATCAACTTCATTTATCTTTCATACAAAATTAATTACCTTTATCATTAAAAAAAATGAAATTCTACTGATTATAAATTTGCTTTTTATATCAAATATAGAAGACTATTCAATTATTTACCTATCGACAGAAATGAAAGTTTGCGGGGAAAGAAGAAAGAAAAATGTGTCGTATCCATGTCTACCTGATCTCAATGAAAGATGAACTAACTCAATATTTCAATTTATCCATAAAAATATCGTCTTCGGAATTTACTACCATCAATCATCGATTTAAAGAGAAAAATTTACTTAGCAAGCTGTAACGTAGCGAATTAGGCTCTATTATAATATGCTTAGCTAATAAAATATC